GAAAGTGTTTCGCCGATCTAGTCAAGGAACAATTAAGTTCCGCTTTGCCAGCTTAGGTTATTATGCACATTTGTGTATGTGGGAAGTACACAAAGATGGAGCGACGAGGTTTATTATTCTCTACTCTCTTCTCATCTATGTGAGAGATGATGGACTTGGGCCTGCAATAGATGGACTAACCCACAAAAATTTAAAATTTGTTGATACTTTTCCCAGCCGTCCAGAACACGGTCATGTTTGAAGCCTATAATTTATTTTTTGGCGATGCGGCGGAGGCTTGTTTTATGGAAGGAGGTTCATGGTCAACCCAAAGGCAAAAATGGGTTTTAAGAGCCAGAAGCACCCTGAATGAAACCCCTATACTATGATTGTCGTAAGCAAAACCAACTTCAGCAGTGGTTAATAGGTCCAAAACTAAGAGAAGGTCGATTAATACTGATGTATTCATGGGAAATACAACCATTAATTCTCCAACTAACATACTACAAGACGCAAGTCGATAAATGTGCAAAACAAAAACTACGGGGCGGAGACAATGCCGGGTAAAGGGGGCAGAAGTTAATCTAAAATAAGTGATTCTACGTCTAATTGTCCCTCTCTTTCCATCCCACACCTGACATTATATCCGTGCTTCTTTTGCAACCTGGTAGGTGGTGATCTTGAACTGTCCTTACAGAAAGCTTCCCGGTGGTTGCATGTTGGACACTCCACAGCGCGGAAACACTCGTTTTTTGACTTGCTGCATACCATACACCCATTGGGTGATTAGCTGTCCGGTCGATCTTGAGTAGTCAGTGCAGTAGCCGGTGCGTTTAATTGTTCGCATTTTGCCAAGGGTAGCTACCGTGACCTTTCTGACTGAAGTCGGAATTTCGTTGCCGATCCCATAGTCATTCACTTTCAATTCTTTCAGTTTGTGAACGTTTGCGATGGTGAATTCCCTTTGCTTGTAAGTTTGTACTGGCCCCACATGTCTATCTCGTGTCGTTGACACACCATTGGGACGTAGCCACTAATGCAGCTGGCGTTATTATGTACATTTGTGTACGTGAAAAGTAAACAGTGATGGAGGGTGGATGGTTTACTATTCTCTACTCTCTTCTCATTTATGTCAGAGACGATCCACTTGGGCCTGGCATAGATGGAGTAACGCGTAGAGATATAAACTCGTTGATAATTTGTCCAGTAGTCCAGAACACTGTCATGCGTCAACTTAAACCGACAGTTCGACCGTCTATTTCAGGGATGTCCAACGTATGCTTCACAACAAAGTGCTGCAGGGACGGTGACTTGCGCGTGCATTAGCTTTAAGTAATAGTAGACTTGCGAAGCGTCTACCGCACTCTCTCTCCTAACCCACCTGTGCCCGGTGTCAAGCCGTGTTCAAGAAAATCTGAGGTGGGATCGGGCGCAGGTGGCTGGTGCGGCGTGAGCCTGCACCTTGGCGTGCGACCACGCTTCGCATGTTCGGCAATTGTTATGTGAGTGCAACGGAAATAGCGCCTCCTGTACCCTGATCTGGCCCCTGTGTTGTTGCAGTGCATCGATCACGCGGCCCATTTAGTGGGGAGGGGCGCCATGTGTCAACCAGCAAGCGTATTTCCATCGTCAACGTAGCCTATTGTAAACGTTGCATCGGACCGCGCCAGGTTATCTGAGACTTCAAAAATTACCACTAGGTTCAGTCGAAGTTGACTGCAAATCGAAAGCTCTGGTGAGGAACAAGTTCAGAAATAAATTTACTAAGCGCTGTTCTGCTTGTCGTTATAAGAACAAAAGATCG